ACTTTATGATACAACTATATCATGATATTCTATGAAGTAAACTATAGATGTTAGATATTCAATTTAGCATGCACAAATACCAATTGATGAGGCAAGTTGAGAATGTGCTTGGATAAGATCAACGATCTATTATATCCTAGAGAGATGCGGTTTATCTATCAACAAAGAACCTCTTATAATATTATAAGAAGATAATGTTGCTTGCATAATTACATTAAAGGAAGAATGCATTAAAGTGATAATCCGGTGGACTTATTCATTAAGGCATTACTATTATGAGCCTACGTACGGGATCTAGTCATGGGCCGGTGATTGATTTTCGAGGCACTTGTTCCTCCGGGTTTTCCTTGGCATCTTGCACCTATAATGAAAAGAGTGAAGCTCATTCAAGAAAGAGGGGCTATCTTAATCTCAAAAGAAATTACTTCGACCTTTTTTTTATTCCATCACAAATCAATCCTTTAAATAGTACGACCATAGCAATTGTAAATAGAAAGTCTCGCTGATTTAGAAAACACAATATGAATTATTCTAGTCAAATAAATAGGAAGAAAATAATCTTGTTATCAATTAATCCCAAGATAACGACTGAGAATCTTCATTTATCCTTAATCATCATAATTTACTCCTTATTCTTCTCGTTCTTTATTCTTCTATGATTTGTTCCGCCATTTTTTTTTACCTATATTGTTGTCCTACAAATGAATCTATAACATTACTCTCTCCCTGGACAAAGAGCTTGTCCTCAAGCTCAAAGGTAGGATATAAATCACAAAATTTGATCAAATTTTCCCAATAAGAATCCACCTCCGATAAACCCGCCCATTACACCGGGACCTCCAATGTGCCACGATTCAACCGCGAACGTAAAACTCACTCGGGATAAGGAGTCACACGACCTTCTATGAGATGAGGAAAAGCTAGGGGCGTGGAAGGAAGAATGCCAATGAATTTCTTTAAGAGAGAAACATGAAACACATTATGGATTTTACTTCCTTCTAGCAAAACCAATTTACAAGCCACTCGGGCCCATTTTATCAACAACTTGAAATGGCCCATAAAAACGTGGACATAGCTTGTGATACTTTTTTCTTGCCGCCGACATTTGTCAATGAAGTTGCAACTTGAGCCAAACAAAGTCACCAAGTTCAAAGGACACATCACGGTGGTGCTCATCATAATATTTCTTCATCCTCTCTTGAGCTTGGTGCAAACGCATCTTAAATTCTCGCTAACACCTGGTCTCGGCATCTCAAGGCTTGGTTAACAACCTCTAATCTTGCTAAATTAGGAACATAAGAGAGGAGACATGATGGCTCTCTACCATATACCACTTGAAAAGGAGTAGCATTTAGAGAAGTTTCCAATGAGGTGTTATAGGAATACTCGACCCATGGAACCCAACGAACCTAGTCCTTCGAATGGTCTCCGACAAAGCACCAAAGATACATCTCAATGGTTGATTCACCACCTCCATCTAGCTATCCGTTTGAGGGTGGTAAGCTATCGAATGAGACAATTTGGTACCATTTAGAGTAAAAAGTTCCTTCCAAAATTTATAAGTGAAAGCGACATCTTTGTCATTTATTATAGACCGAGTTAGACCATGAAGTCAAAAAATGTGCTAAAACAATGTCGCAATGGTCACTGCTATATAAGGATGAGATACGAGTAAGCAATGAGCATAATTAGAGAACCTATCAACCACCACGAAAAGGATAGTTTTTCCTTTGGATTTGGGAAGTCTATTGAGATATCGGTCCATATATGTTTAGGATTAGGCAAGGGTTAAAGGAGATAACCCGAATAAAGGTGCTCGGTCTTGTTTTTTTGACAAACCGGACGACCTTGAATATAATCTCTAACTCCGACCTTCATACCACGCCAAAAAAATTCAAATCAAAGTCGCGGTAGTGTTTTTTCTAAGCCTTCATGAGTGGTCTCATGAGATTTTGTAATCAGTACGGGAATGAGAGGGGAGGTAGGTAATAGAAAAATATGATTACGAAACAAAATCGATCCATCACGAACTCGTCTATTCCCCTGTTTCTTATCCTTGTTCCACTTATTGTCATAGGGCCTAAAGTACCTCAAATTGAGAAATTTCAGATTTGATAGCATCAAATATGGCAAATTCAAGCTTAAAGTTACCATAAAGAGTACCCATTTCCTTATCTCGCGAGAGAGAGCATCAGCAGACTTTGTTAGTGATGCCGGACTTGTATTCCACTTGAAAATCAAATCCTAAGAGTTTGCTTACCTAATGTTGTTGTGGGGAGGTAATGAGTTTTTCCTCCAAAAAATAATATTGTAATGGTTGGTGCGGATTGTAAAAAAGCGTCCCCACATATAAGGTTTCCAATGCTTGGATTGCTTTTGTCAAACCAATTAACTCCCTCTCATAAGTTGGTTATTTAGCATGTTGGTCTCTTGAACACTTGCTAAAAAATACAACAAGATGTCCTTCTTGTTGAAGAACAACACCAATTCTCGTTCCGAAGCATCACATTCAACCACAAATATCAAAGCAAAATTAGTTAAACGAAGCACCGATGACTTGAAAAGAGCCCCTCGAGTGCTACAAAGGTCGCGTCCGTTGATGATGACCAGTCGAACCTATTTTTTTTTCAATAAATCATTCAATGGAGCTGCTATCACTTCGTATTTACGGATAAATTTCGATAATATCCATTCAAACCTAAAAATCCTCGTAACACCTCGAGGGTCTTAGGAATTGGCCATTCCGCCACTACTTGCACTTTGGTTTTGTCTATGGAAACTCCCGTACCAGTAACTATATGACCAAAGTCGGCTACTTAAGTAGCTTCAAAAGAACACTTGGATTTCTTAAGAAACAGCTTTATGAGTTCTCAACAATTCAAAAATCAGCCTAATGTGGCTAATATGTTCCACCTAAGAAGGACTATAAATGAGAATGTTATAAAAAAAAACACCAATACAAAATCACAAAGGTAAGCTTGAAATACCTCATTCATCAATGACTCGAAATGTGAAGAGGGCATTTGTAAGGTCGAAAGGCATTACCAAAAATTCAAAATGACCATGGTGGGTGCGAAATGCCATTTTCTCCTCATCTTTTGGATCCATTCGGACTTATGGATACCCAAAGCGCAAGTCAAGTTAGTGAAATATTTAGCTCCATGTAACTCATCAAGTAACTCATTCACCACTCGGTATGGGGAACTTTTCCTTCATCATTTTGGCATTCAACTCTCGATAATCAACACAAAATCGTCATGACCCATCATGCTTATGGGCAAGTAAAATAGGTGAGGAAAATAATGATTGGCTTGGTCTTATGATTCCTTGATGTAACATCTCTTAACATTGCCTCTCGATTTCATCCTTCGCGAGTACGGGATATCGATACGGTCGAATTGCCATAGGTTCGATCGGGAAGTAAAGGAATTTTATGATCTTGTGAGCGAGAAGACAAAAGTCCTTCGGGTTCTCGAAATATGTCCCGGTAATCCAAGAGAAACTTATCCATTAATCCTTATAGTTGTTGAATTCCTTACAAAGAATGGACCTTTCGTTTCGGAGATAATTTTTCACCATGCCACTACACTTGTCGCTCTTTGAGCCAAAATGACATAATAAGTGTGGAAAAATCCCATAAAATTGGCCCCAAGGTTTTCAGCCACTTGATGCCTAATACAATGTCAAACTATCCAAAGCAATAATATAAAGGTCGGCAGTAAAAGAGGCATTTTCACCAATTCCGGGGCTAGGCACCTTTTCACCATTTGCCACCAAAACTTGTAGCCCTACACGCTGTCGGCTAGGTAAGTTAAGTCGTTTGGTAGCTTCTTTACTCGATAAAGTTATGGGTGTTGCTAGAGTCTATAAGCATCAAAGTCGATTCGTCGTTGAACCGAGTGCCTTTAGTTACATTGTTTGGGCATTCCTTATTCCCGTAATGGCATGTAAAGATATTTGCATGTCTCTTTGTCCTTGGAACTCAACCTCCTCCTCCACTTCAAGCCAAAAAAATTTTTTGCATTTGTGATCGAAAGTATAGGGCTCATCACATTATAACACAACCCTTTGGCTCTTCTCTCCGCCATTTTTGCCTTTTTTTTTATATATATAAGTGGGTTATCCTTTTGGTGCAGCATTAACTCTTGTCTTTGTCATCTTTGTTGCCGTTGAATTCGATCTCGAAGAGTATGTATACGGCTTTCGTATGTCCATGCTCTACTTCAGTTGCATCATCATTTCAAAGGCCTTTGTTAAGCTCATGGCAGCGAACCAAATCAAGTGGGCTCGCGTCTCCACATCTAGCCTTAAGGAGTCTTTAAGTACAATAGTGAAAATATCCACTTGTTGGTTTGGTTGGACTATGGTTGCTCTTGCTAATAGAGCCTAAAACTTAGACAAATATTCTTCCAAGAAACCACTTTGCTTAAGGTTAATCAGCTCCCCTAAAGTATTGTTTTGTAATGGTGGACCAAAACGTAAATGATAGTAACGAGAAAACTCATACCATGTTAAAATTGGCTTCTCTTGTTCCAACTTATAAAACCATAATTGTGCATCTCCCGTAAGTGAAAGCTCGCCAATCCCACTTTCTCCACCTTCGATATGCATTGGTTGTGAAAAAATTGGTCACACGATTTAGCCACCCCAAAGGATCGTCCGAACCATTATATGTAGGAAAGTCCAATTTGGCATAGCATGGCACTATTGTTTGTTCGAACGCTCTTCGAATATGAAGTCATAGCGGTTGTGCCCTCCTAGACAGCCTATCGCTTGCACCTTGTTCCTAGTCTTTACTCGCTACTTTTGGATTTTTCACCATTAGTTTGTCTGCTATCAAAACTCCTATGTAGTCGTTGTAATCTCCTTTTTGGTCTAGTCTATGTGTTGCTCGATTTGATCCATTCGTCGTAAAACTTTAGCAATCGATCCGTAAGTGACGGATCCGGGTTGGATGATTCGGCCAAGATAGCAGGCTCTAATACCAAATTGTTATGAGTCTATGTACAGGATCTAGTCACCGGTCGATGATTGATCTTCGGAGCACTTGTTCCCCGGGTTTTCCCCGGCGTCACGCACCTATAATGAAAAGAGTAGAGCTCATTCAAGAAAGAGAGAGTCGCCTTAATCTCAAAAGAAATTACTTCTAACTTTTTTTATTCCATCACAATCAATCATTTAATTAGTACATCCATAGCAATTGTAAATAAAAAGTCTATGCTGATTTAGGAAACACAATATGAATTATTCTAGTCAACTAAATAGGAAGGAAATAATCTTACTCGTCAATTAATCCCTAAATAGCAGTCGAGAATCTTCATTTGTCCTCAATCATCGCAATTTGCTTCCCATTCTTCCGTGATTTATTCTATCACTTTTTCCGCCTATATTGTTGTCCTACAATGAATCCGTAACAATTACTATCATAACTTTTGAGAAAATGGTTTATAAGACGAAGATGCATCGTCCGAAAGATCTCAAATGATGTTTTCAACACAAGGAGCCCAATATTAAGATTAATATGTACAAGGAATATTATGCCCTTTTTTCTTCACTAGGATTTTTTTTCCACTAGATTTTTTCCTTATAAGGTTTTAACGAGGCATGTTTCTTGAATGATGGACATTCAAGGGGTAGTGTTATGAAACAATGAATGTCCATGAACATTTCATATTCCCACTACTTATTATTCTTAATATGATTCAATTCACCATTTAATATGAGAAATTGAAAAGATAATGCAATTTATTCAATTATTTATGCATCTTTTAATAGTTTATAGTCTCTTTCAATTCTCTCCTAAATCTTAAAGCTTATAAATAGGCTTGATTGTTCATTAGTTTATATACAAGTATTTTGTAGAGATTGAAAGATTATTTGGAGTTGTTATCTCTTGTATTCACTTTATCTTATAATGAATTATTTTTCTATTATCTTCTCTTCAATTCTTCTATTATTTTTATTTCTTTCATAACACTTCCATTGATTTAAAGGAAGATATTTATAATGGTAACAACTTCTTGCTCTAGAAATGGCTTGGTTTGTGTGTAATTCTATCCACAAGTGTCTTGTGCCGACTAGATTGCTAGTTTGTTTATTCATTTTTTTTATTTATGAAAGTCGAAATTAGATTAAAAAAAAATCTAGCTGGTAGCTTGCTAAACTATAGAGTTTTGACATATCATAATAGAATTTAAAAAAAAAAAAACAATACTATAATCAAAGGTCATTATTTCTATAATGACTATCCTTATTTAGAGAATTTGTCACTACATTCCCTATTTCTGAGTCGTACTCACATGCTATCCTTTGTAACTTGTGAAGAGTGAATGGCCCAAGGCCAAAAGTGAAAATCTTACGAAGGAACAAATTTATTAGCTACTAGTATCATTTAAAAGTTGATTTAGGGTCCCAATCTTTCGTTTCCTCGGGACAGCATTTTTGTTTCTCTGATTAGAAGGAGTATTGTAATTTTTTGTATTCTGTATGATATTAATGTAACAAAGAATCATTAATCTCTACTATTAATAACTTGAGAATTCTAATCATAACTGCGAGGCCTATCAGTATTTCGGGAATTAAAGCGTTTTCTTTTTTTGCATAAGAGTTCTAAGGTATCGGTAAAGCTTCTAATCTTGGTATAGATATTAGCGCTGCGATGATTTTAACAGCATGAATATATTAATTATTTATTTACCGCTATAAGAAAGGTTTGTCTCTTGGTTTCTTACCTCAAAAATCAACTGTGAATTAATTGATTGAGTCCATTTTGACTAAATTGAAGTTCTTGAAATTAATCAAAAAAAAAAAATCTGAAAGATTACAGCAATTGGTTGTTGAATTTGGAGGCATTGCATGTATGTGACGTGATAAATATGCAAACAATTTGAGGATGCTTGGTGATCTTCTTTGATTGTCACTTGACATATAGAGTTTCAGAGTTCTCATTTGGCATTAAGCAAGTGTTGGTCATCATATTGGAAACTAATAGTAGAAATTAAAGTAAGCTCATCGAGATCATAAAGAGGATCTCATGTTCACTCTCTTGAATAATCGTAGAACCAACACATAAATGTTCACTAGTAGCCAAAATGAATGAATGAAAAAAAAAAACACACACACACACAACCAAATTTACAAGCAACCTAAAGTGACCTGAAAGATCGATGACCAAATTTACAGCTTTAAATGTTCCAGTCGAGGGGTCCCATCAAGCCCTTTTGAATAAGTGTAAGAGACGTAATCTTTTACAGTCGTCTGCCGATATCTTGCGGGGTTTTCTACTGACAGCAATTCCTTAATTGGTCCACAGACTCTAGAAGAACTCTCTTGCTGCAAGTGCGTTCTAAAAAAGCAGGCAATTGATATTCTTGGACCTGCATTTTTTGCCACTACCCTATGATACACACTTTTGAACTTACCATTGGTGATTAGCTGCACAGATTAAGACAGATAAAATTAATCAAATAGTCTTTAATTATTCAATTATAAACTTGTAATAAATTATTTTAATGATTCAAGTTCTAAAGAAGTCTTGCCTGTGTCATGTCTCCCAGATTTACTATTAGAGCTCCAGGAAGAGGTGTAACATCAATCCATCGATCTTCATGGAGGACTTGAAGGCCACCCAATTGGTCTTGCACGACAACCGTGATGAAGCCACTATCTGTATGCTTGCTAAGGCCTAAAGTCAAGTCTGGTTGAGGGCACGCCGGGTAGTAATGACCAATAAAATAAAGTCCCTCTGCACATCCCATCTCTTTCAGGTGGTTGGATTTTAGTCCAAGAGCTTCCGACAGCAGTTCGAATATGATTAGCCCTAATGCCATCACTTTGTTCGAGTAATCAATAGTAACATCCCTAATGAAAAGTTGATCAATTAAGTATGTGCAATAAATAATCCAAAATTTTCTTTGTGATTCCAATTAGACCCTGAAGCTTAAAGACTATCATGTAAACATAAAATGCAATTTATTGCAGGGGAATCATGCTAAGAATGAAACCTCATCCGATCAATACATCATAAAAAAATTATCTTAATCCGGGATGCTAATCAGGCCTGTAATGTTTTCTTTTAATTAATTTGCATACATAATCAATTATCCTCAACGTGTGTGTGTGTGTGTAGTTTGGTTTCCACAAAGAAAAGATTAGATGTAATAACATACCTACAAACTGCAGGCAATTCGTCAGGACTGGGTGGATGAGGGGCCATAAGGCAATAAAAAGAATCCCTCCAATTAGCTGCTGGTGCTTGATAAAAATCAAAGTTGGTATTATATGCTACCTTTCTCAATTCATCGCGTGTATAGAATTCTTTCTTCACCTCTGTGTCTTGTTCATGAAATCTACGCACACCATTTATCATATCATCCAGAACACTTGATGAAATTCCATGATTGATCACCTGAAAGAAACCCCATTTCTCGCAAGCATCTCTAACTTCGTCAGTTATCTTGCAGCGTAGACTTGCATTTTCATTGATGCCTTCAAAGTCTATTATTGGTACACTAAAATTATGGTGGCTTGAACTGGACTTATCATCGGTAGTAGATTCGTGGATAAAAATCCGTGGGATGTTTGCAATTCCAGAATCCACAAGCCCCTTTACGCCAGCTTTGGAATCATCGAAAGCCTTCAGCTCACTTTTCCGGCTATAATCAGGTTTCAACTCAGGTTCAGTTTCGCCTGAACCCGTGATCATCATTTTCTTGCCTCAACCTACAAATGTAAATTCTATATGGCTCTTGCGCCTGATTTTAGAAGAATAAACAAAGAAGATGCACTTCAAAGTTGTAACTAAAAAAGAACAAAAATAAAACAACCCATCTCTTGTCCTTATCTGGGAAAGCCCCACAGTTACATTATGTATGGGCTGGCATCCAACTCTTCGCTGATTGTGGGATAGGAAACTGCAGAACGGGACAACGAACAGCCGAATAAGCGCATTTTTATAGTTTCGTTTAACACCATAACTGACGTGGACGTCTTGTAGTAGATGAGATCAAGTTAACACATGGAAGTTAAAAAAGTCAGTAGGGTAAACAAATATTATAGTTTCAAACAGTCATGGCTTTTGCAAGTTAACACTAATCAATGAGCTGCACAAAACAAAGACATGAAAATTTTATACCGTAATAATATGTATTTTCCCTTCAGGGCTTGAATTCCATAGATACATGTTTGATACTCCGATGACTAGCATATGCATATACCTCTTTGTTTGAGGTCATGATCCCATTTAATTGTAATAGAAATTGCGATGATGACGTGAATGAGTCAAAGTTAATTAGTATAATCGACTTGCTTGAGGAAGATTTCCAATGTTTAACTGTTTAATTATGCTCCCTGTGTGGGAGGAACATCAATCCAGTAATTCTCACAAAAAACTTGCAGGCCACCAATTTTGTCTCGTAGAAGTATGGTGATGAAGTTACCATCAGCGTGCTCCGGAGTGCCGATGGTTCAATCTGGTTCAGGGCATGCCGGATAACAGTGTCCCGAAAGTAACAGTCCCTTGGCACAACCCATTTCCTTCACTTGACGGGTTAAGGCCCAATGCCTGTGATAGCAACTCGAAAAGTATGTTCCCTAATTTTTAACTTGGTTTAGATATTGGATAACTCTGTCCCTGTAGTTGACTAGAAGCATTTATGAAGCACATAAATGACGACATCGTCAAACAAAATTAAGGGAAGAGCATGAAAGTATAAAACTGTAGAATTGCTATCTTGCAGATTAGCCCCATAATTATTTGGAGTTGTACTGCCATTTCAACTTATGCATCATTATTAGGTGCAATATCTTCTTCTACTTGACCTTATGATCACCTCCACCTACCACCACTTCTTTTTTCTTTTCTTTTTTTCCCCTGTTCTCTACCCTATTTTTCATGTTCTGCTCTAGAGGGACAATATTCCGACATTTTTTTTTTTTTTTTTTTGCGATAATCATGATATATATATATATAATCCTGTGTCACCATGTAAGCTTCCAGAGAAGACTTGCTCGAAATGACGCATATAGACAAAACTTACGCCCCAAAATTGATCAAGCAGAACACAATGGCAGCATCCATGAGACAGAGTAATTAGAGGCACCACAATGATGGGAAGGTATCAAAGATTAAGGAATGTAATCTGAAGCTGTCTGCAGCATGAATTAATAAAACCTTGGCTTTCTGCACGCCCTGTAGGCATAATAATAATCTCAGGTCTTCCCATTCTAAGTAGAACGGTAAATAAGAAATTTCAGCAGCATGAGCTTCTTAATGGAGAAAAGGAAAATTTAGAAAGTAAGTTTCACCTAAAGTCCTTCAGCACCTGACTCTGAGCATTGCTTCAGGATATGGAAAAGCTATATTTATGTCTCTCAACTTCAAGGAAAGAATGGGGAAAAAAATTATAAGATTATGATTCATGCTGACATTGAACGACAACACATAGATAGTAGCCCCCTCAACCTTCCTCTCCTTCATTCGTAAAACAGAACAGGACTTCTTTCACGTGTTCAATTAGTAAAATAACTCCAAAGAAAATTTCACTAGCTAGGAAACCATAGATATTCTGCACCTCTCCTTACCTTCCTGTATGCACATAGACCAAAAACAAATGATGGGGCATGTTTCCTTCAAAATTGAACACCATATTTTGTCCAGATATGCATTTTAAGATGAGATTTGAAATAACTAACCTAGAAACACAATATTTATGAAAAATGACAAGAAATCATAGAGAATAAAATATCTACCAGGTTCACTAATACCAAGCAGTTTACTGTAAAACTATAGCAAATAGGACATTATGCTAGCTTGCAGCATATCGGAACCTAGAGCAAAACCAATTAACAATTTGTTAAAATTAGAATTTTCAAGAGAACCTGGTATCATTTCCAAAAATTGCAGTGTAACTCCACCTCGAAATTGGTCCTGAATTTTCAAATCCAACTGTACAACCTGAATTGTAGCAAGGTAGATGTCCCATCGGGCCCCTTTGAGTAGAAGACTTTCATATAGTCCTTGACATCTGTTTCTCTATGAATTGGAGGATTTTCTTCTGATAATAGTTCCTTAATTGGTCCATAAACTTCCAAAGGCAATCCCTTCAGTGTTTGTGGCCTAAAGAAACATGGTACTCAAATTCTTGGACCTGCTTGCTTTGCCAACACTCTGTGATCAGCACTAATTAACTAATCATTGGAGATGAGCTGCAGAAAAAAAGACGAGAAAATTAATACCATAGGTCCATAGTGATGTTTTGCTTTGGACTATGTAATCTGCTACATTTCAAGACTCATCTTCAATGTTTAAGGCATATTTGTCAAGCGTATAATTGATGTACCTGCAGAAGGTCTCCAATATTTACTAGTAGAGCTCCACGCTTGGGAGGGACATCAATCCACCGATTCTCATGAAGAACTTGGAGGCCTCCTATTTGGTCTTGTAAAAGTCCAGTGATGAATGTGCCATCAGTGTGTTTATTAGTGCCCATGGTTAAATCAGGTTCAGGGCATGCTGGATAATAGTGACCTAATAGTAAAAGCCCCTTTGCGCAACCCAAGTCCTTTAGGTAGCGAGGACGAAGTCCCAATGCCTCTGAGATTAACTCAAATAGTATATCCCCCAGCTTAATCACTTGGTTTGTGTACTTGATCACTATGTCCCTGAAATTTCACAAACCCATCGAGTAGAGGAATGATATCATTACGAAAGAAAGTGAGAAAGAATGAATTTGCAACAATCTAAAGGATTTATGGCTTTAATAAAGCTTGATATTCTTTGGAGAACTAAGGCTAGTTGTCTTGTATTACTCGTTAATATGTTTTCTGACCACATACCTGCAAATATCAGGCAATTGTTGAGGCTTGGGAGGATTAGGAGACACAGTACAACCAAATGTATCCCTCCAATTAGCTGCAGCCGATTGATACAAATCAAAATTGGACATATAGAAAACTTTTATTGCAAAATCGCGTGTGTAGAATTCTTTCTTCACTTCACTGTCTTGTTCATGAATTTTTCGAATACCATCAATCACCTCATCCATAATATTCATTGGAATTCCATGATCGATCACATGAAAGAAACCCCACTTTTTGCCGACATCATGAACTCTGTCAATGATCTGTCTGCGTAAATTTGAATCTCCAAGACTGCCTTTGAGGTCTATGATTGGAATGCTGAACTCCAAATTACATCCAGATTCTTCACCGTGGTTATGATGTTCTTGCTTGAAGATACGAGGAACCTCTGAAACCCCAGCATCCACTAGTCCCTTAACACCAGCTTTTGTATCATCAAAAGCTTTTAACTCACTCTTCCTGTCATAATTGGACTCAGCTTCTACCTGAATTCCACTACTCCTTAACATCACCATTTTCTTTTTCTCCTGTTAAGAAAATCGTTCAGAAACTTATCGTGTGAGAAAACCTGCTTCAACACTTGTTATCAGAGGGATAAGAGACACTGACGTGGTAAAACGATGACAATCTATCGCTAACAAACACGTAAGTCTTATAGAAACCTCCAATTTTTCTTATTTTTTGGCTAAAGGGTAATGGATACTGAAATTTTGTGAAGGGAAATGTTTGGCCGAAAAATTATCTTCCAGGAAAAGATACATGATTATCTGGCAACGCGACTGTATTGACATTGTCCATAGTGATAGTCATGGGACAAGGCACGGGCATTGTGGATGAATATTTAATTTGTGCCGTTATGTTGAGTTTCATCTGCTTTGGTCACAAAATGGATTCAGTGTCAAGCTGATCTTCTGATATATTGCTAGCACACTCGTATATGGACTTCACATTTTTTATTTATCTTCTTCATGCACTCTCAAAGTTTATTCTGATGTTGATTGGTCTGGCTATCCAGACACTCGACATTCCACCTCTGGCTCTATCATTTATTAGGTCAGTTTTCTTATCTCTCAGTCCTCTAGAAAACAACAAGTTGTCTCTCACTCTAGTACTAAGGCCAATACCGTGTCTCTTCTACAGTGGTTGAATTAATTTGGATATGTGACTGTTGGCATTTCAAAATTCAATCTCACAAGTCGATTAGGCATGGCATCTTCTTATGGTGAAATAATGAAATATAAATCAAATGATGCATTTGGTATTATAAACTAACCAAATTTTAATGAAGCATTAAGTCTTACATAAAACGATGTGTTTGGTTTTATAACCAACCAAGTTTCGACGAAGCAATGAGTTTTAAATAAAACGGTACATTTAGTCATATAACCAACCCAATTTCGATGAAATCATAAAATTTAAGTAAAGCGATGCGTTAGTTCCTACAATCAACCAGTTTCTACGAGATAATATGCCTAAAGGAAACAAATTGACAATTACCAAATAACTATTTGCACTTAAATTTAAATACAAGGTAGCTATCAATCAAAAGTTATTTAAAGAAGAGGGACTAACGGAATTAGGGATGATCAACAAGACAAGACTTTTTCAATACAAGTTTATTCAAGTTCCCTAGTTTACCCCGTAACCGTTAGTTTCTATTTTCCTACCTTCGGTGATTTCATCTTTGTAACTTAGAAAGTGTTGATCCGTCAATAATTATGAACAAATGGCTTCGGATGACTCGATAACTAATAACGTAAGTGTCATATTTTTCGATCTATGATTGCATTCTTTCCAATGAATTTTATCTTTTTCGAGTGATAAATTTTTTTTTACTTTATTACTTTTTTTTAAATTAAGTACCCATGGAAAATCCTAGTGGCTTACTAGGCGAAATTGAACCCTATATTACTTCATCGCGAAGGTCTTGGTCATAAATTGAAGTGTCAATGTATTTCACTTTAAGACCAAATTTGACGAGTAGCAATAAGTTTTAACGACCACAATGGGAGAGTAATGTCAAAACATGGTACTACTAGAAGTACGACGAGACGTCAACTCTCCGAAAAAGACTAAATCGACAAAACACTTCCCGTTTCGTTAAAGGAATGGTCTAAATTTTTGAAAATGAACCTCTAATGGAAACCATAGAAAACCGCAATCACGAGGAAACCGGGGATAATGATAAAGCAGAACCTATAAATGAAACCGATATAGGACAATCGGACGATCAAAATAGGTTTAATGTCAAAAATTAAAAGCATGTAGTTTTAGATAAAAGTGATGGCTCCACAAATCAAAATAATGATGTTAGGGAATAGATGCCCGAAGAGCAAATTGTTGACTTTCGAGAGATGTTGTCAAATCAAACTAAAGAATTGATAAAAAAGGATATATAATCCATCTTTAAATATTGACGATCAGATAAATTGATAAATATAGTTAATGTCGAATCAACTTGAAGAGGATATCAATAGAATGAGAGCTTCCATAGCCGATTCATCAAAGAAAATAATGAAAAAATTATTAACCATACTCGCTAAACTATCAAATTGTATGCACTATTATGGTAACATAGTGATTACGGATAAATCACTCGTTTAATGAGAATAGTGTTCCATTAACGAAACGAGTTGCCAAGGAAATAGAGATTGCCATTAAACCAAGGTTTAAGACAACCGCAAACGTTACTCAAATGATGAGAAAGGATGTTCAATGGCTTATGGTTTGGTAGCAAGCAAAGGCAAGGAACTAGTCGAAGAAAGAAATTTTGACTTCAACGAGAAGTAAGATCATCGACAGTTAGGCTAACTAAAGTTCCTTTAGGTTACCCATCTTTTGTTCCTAATAGACCGATTGATAATAGAAATGGTCATGACGTGCCACAAAACACTTATGGACATGCTCATTATGGACAAACTAATGGCCATTCACCCTAGGCAACTCCTATAAGTATGTCGACACAACCCATACCTTCATATTATAGTCCTCCTCCAAGCAAACCTTTAAGGGCAAGGAGCAATTTTTCACCATAAAATGCACCAACTATGGCGATAGTTGAAGGAAATGGTTCGATGCCATATCCTACCCCTGGATATACACTTGGTGAATTGAATCAAGAGGTTTTAACTAATATTATTGAGATGATGTATGGATTACGAATGTAATAGTTCAATCATCCTATTTATCAAAATCCATATCCAGATTACGTTAACAAGGAATATCCCTTCCTAGAGGATTTCAAGCTCCTTAATTCACTCTATTTTCTCTATTTTCTAGCGAAGATAATGTTTCGCTTTGGAACATGTGACCGCATTCACTTTTCAATATGGAGAATTATCGGGAGATGATTTCGTGAAACCGTGACTCTTTCTTAGCTCCTTAACTACGAGCAGCATTCACTGGCATATATTTATTATCAAATTCCACCTTTACTTTATGGGATATATAGAATGCATTTCAAAGAATAGATCCCGGGATTTCACCGGCAAAGTTAGCAAGGTTAAGGTAGTTTTATGGTGAATCTACAAAACAATTTCTCTCAAGGTTCGAAGTGCCGAGTTTGATGTCGAGTCAATTTATCCGAAAGTAAATTTTTATGCTTCATATAGGATGGATTAGATTTTAAACTTAGAAAGAAATTTAAGGGTATGCTATTTAAGGATCTTTACGAACTATCCGAAAGTGGCATCAAGGTTTGAAATAATTTTACGAGAAGAATCACCGTAAAAAAATACCATGATGGGAACATACTACCAAGATTCCACGATGGTCAATGTTGATTTTACGAGTATGTTAAAAGGAAGCCAATAGTTTATAAACAAGTTGGCTTGAAAAAACATACAAACTCCTATAAGTTTGAAGTCAAAAAAAGATCGTAAATATTCTTTTGATCTTAATAAAACAAATTTGACCTTCGATTGGCTATTAGCCAACAATAGAATCGACTTAAAAGAAAACATAAATTACCAATTTTAGAAGAGTTGAAAAAAGAGAAATTCCGTAAATGGCATAGTGCTTCATCCTATTCAACTAATAAATGTATTTTATTTAGGAATTTAATTCAAGACTTAATAGAGTCAAATGAATTAAATTTTTCTTGATAAAGAAGAAGTTATGGAAGTTGAAAGTAATCATTTTCTTAAAGTCATCAAAGTTTTGACTTTTGATGTTTTTGACTTATCCGATTTGCAGGAACAAATTGCTACATTAAAGGCCACCAAGTGGCTAACTAGGTTTTTAACTACTTGGTCAATATAGTGGTTCTTTGATTTTCTCATTTTGTAGATCCAAAGCTTGAGCACTATTGCAAGTGGCACATCATTACACCGCATACAACAAATAAGTTTTTTTAACTTCATGGATTTTTTGAATGGTCATAGAGACTAAAATTAGTGTGACCTCACCCATGAAGAGGAAGTAGTTTTAGTTCGGCCTTGCTTCGAGTCGAAATATATGCTCGATAAAGTCATGGAGAAGTTGAAAGACCCTAAATTTGATTTCAAAACATGTACCTTGGCCCATAAACTAGGCCAAAACCGGTTAAATTGCCAAACAATAACGACTAAGAAGCACCAAATAGAAGGATCATCTTCTCAAAAGGCTTCAAAGAAAAGGTCATAATATGGAGCAAGTTTGAATTCAAAAGGCTTAAACAATAAAGATCTAAGTCAACATGGGTTGTGTAGTAGTTGTGCATAGAAGATAAGGAAAAAGATTGCCACTCATCAAGTGACCTAGAACCCGGTAATTTCAACTAGAGAAACCCTTGCTCAAGTTGAGAGAATCGGAATAGATGCTCGTAATGAATACTTCTCGAGGAATTATAAATATTCTTCTTCTACTCGAGAACATTACAAATCAAGGAGTCATCCCTATCGAAGGATTGATGATCGAAGATAGCCAATAGACTAAAGATAACCTCGATGGAACTAATAGACTTCCAAGGTTTATAAAGCCAAAGAAACCGAAGTTAGAGTTTGAAAGAGAACCTAACTTTCTCCTCTAAGACGAGTCATCTAAGTTAGTCAAAATATGGCAGTCTCTCAAGACAATCAAAGCAAGACAGCTTCCCTATTATAAATAAGGTATGGCGAGTTCTCCACAACATTCAAAGCATGATAGCCCCCTTTTATGTTGAGAACCCAAAAGAGAAGATGGTTGCAGAAAATGGCGGAAATAAAAAAGTATAAATATCCCAAGATGAGAAATCGAAATGAAAATCAAGATTTTATAGAAAAGCGAGCCTAAACCAATGATCACTTTGATTGGAACCAAAATTTCGAGAAAAGGAAAGAGTTCATGGATTTTAGTTATGAGACCGACTTCGATGATGATGATTTTGAGATCATCTTAGATGAAAACCCTCGAAACAACTAAAGTCCTACCACAAGATCGATGAACTAAATCGAATACAACATGGTCCTCGCTTTGCTAGTCAATTACATAGCGAAGGTAGGATAGTTAGAATATCGACTTGAGGGTGTTCTGGATAATTCTATTGTAGAGGTGAAGA